ATTCTTTCTACTAGTAGATCCATCATTTACTAGGCTTTAAGCCTCGATCAAGTGGCTTTTGGATCTCTTTTCCACTAGACTACAATTTTGACCCTTGACTTGTGCTTTGATTGTTTAATCTATTGATAATCGTTTCATGTCATGTATGGCGATACCCTATAGGCTATAGCCTGATCTCATGCATCCTTAATTATTATTTTCTTTGATGTTTTCTCAAGTTGAACATGTATTTTGGGATGAGAAAATGATGGCAGCATATGATTTTATTGAGGTATATGTGAACTTATTATAGCACATTCTTTTTCCTTTTCTACTTTAATATATGTAATTTTATAAAAGAGTCGATATCTTGAGATGAATGTTATTAACGTATGTAAAAACTAAGAAAGCATATCAATTCTACACACTGGAAATTATAGGATTAGGAAACCAGTTACATATTTATCTACTAGAAACCCTTAGCAATAGACAATTTGATATCTTGAAAGCGTTTGAGGTTTCAATATCAATTCTGTTAAAACATTTAAATGCTGCTGCATTGTGCAGATACATCTTAGTTAACATACTTTTTTTATGAAAGTTAGTTATAGGAATTAAAAGCGAAATAAAATGACAACCATAATAAACGAAAATGTAATATAAATTACACTTAATAGTGAACGTCAACTACAAGAAACAAATATACTTTACTCAATTTCTTAATATAAGAAAAATGTAGCTAAAAGAAAATGAATTCTTTAGGTTGGCACTATATTGACTTTTTTAATTTTCTATTTGAACCTTTATCTATTGTCTATGTATTATTATTATTTTAGCCCATCATAACTAACCTTCACATCGGAAAGGTAGCATCAACGAGGCTGATTCGGTTGTAATTGTGGCAAGGTTGGTCCAATAGAAGGTGGTTTACCCCAGATGATCGTGTTGGGTGAATTGTGACCTCGTACAATCATGTCGGGTTTATAAAAGGATGGTAAATGGTTACAATTGGTTTGAAATGGTTGCACATTGATTTTTCGTGGATTGTATGTTAATTTTAGGTTGAGGGTTGAAGGTAGAATAATATTTTTAAAAGATGGCGAGAAAAGATATTTCAATTATTTAATAAACCTAAAGAACTTAAATTCAGCGACTTTTGATGACCATTTCAATTTCATCAGATTCCTTTGAAATCTGATAATTGAAAAACGATCATAATTACTTCATGTAATTCACAAATTGCTCAAAATAGAAAACATACTTGCATTTTCAATTTTCAATTGAGAAAATATACCTTCAATTATATTCGGGGATCTATAGTTTGGAGAAAATATCGTTTTAGTACATAATATTGTTTGACGCTTATGTAATATAAGTGAAACTTAGGGGCCGTTTACTAAACGCTTACCCGGTAAGTGCTTACTGGATGATATTACTTACCGAATGAAATTGACAAGGGTCAAAAATTTTACCCGGTAAGAGTAATGATAAAGATGAAAAGTCTTACTTGGTAAGTGATGATCACGATTCTTACCCGGGTAAACGCTTATCGGGTAAATTGTTGCATACAACACCATTTTGATATACTACAATCTTACCCAGTAAATTATATTACTATATTGACTCTTAATGGTAAGCATTTAGGTAAATGGCCCCTTAATATGTTTTAAGAAGACGTTTCCCACAATAAATTTTCTCATCAGATACCTAGACTTCCATTTTGAACCACCAAGCAAGGTACTCAACAACATAAAAACGACAGTGATGGATGCAATTTCTAATTGAGTGCATTGCTGTTTGGATCACCAACCCCAAGTTCTCGGTAACAAATCAAGATAGACTGATTTACAGGAAAGAAGTAGTAGTTCATGAGACCTCGAATTCCCACGTTTTTTCATTATTACTTTCCGAGTCCGAGGGTCCAATTCCGGACTTCGTGCTACTAAATGGATCAACGAAAAGGAATCTGCTTTCCATCTTTAAGCTCAGAGGTTACGATCGTCTCCTTGGGAATTTCCTTCCGTTCAAATTAAAAAAATAGGTAACACGAAAATAGAACAGCGGGTCTTTAAGAATTAAACTATAAACTCTTAAATAGGTAGTGTAAATTATAAAACACAAGAAATGTATTTTGGAATTTTTGGACCAAGTATTTTGTATGATAATTTCTTGTACATTGGGACCTAATTCAACAACACCTCAATACACTATTCTCATGATGTCACCTCAAACACTCATGGTTCTTCTTTTAATATATATATATATATATATATATATATAGATTTAATTACTTTTTTCTAAAATATATTTAAATAAATATATGTTTCAAATTTTTTATTGTAATATAACATTTTGTAATATTATATCAAGAATAAAATAAAATATATAATTAAAGTAAGAGTAAACTACAAGTTTGGTCCTTGTGGTTTGTTATTATAACGGTTATCGATCTTAGAGTTTTGAAAATACAGTTTGATTATTATGGTTTGCGAAAACGTTCTGATTCGGTCCCTCACTTTAACAATCATCAAAAGAATCCACTAATTGATGAACGTCTTAGTCTTTTTCCACTTTTCTACTTATAGAGAAACCCCATGCCCTCAAATAAAGTTAGAACTCATGCATCACCAAAGCACATCACCGATCATCACTTCACCATCAAACTCCAAGGTGATGCAACCACCATCTCTCTCTCTCCCCCCTTTTCCCTCCCATTCTCAACAACATGTCCTCTACTGCCTTAACTCCTAACTCATCTTTGTCATGACCATCTTTGTCATGACCATCTTTGTTGTCGATCCGTTTTACTTTATGATTATCCATATTACTCGGACTATAACGAAATCTTTACAAAATGGACTTTTTTCAAATTTACAATATCAAAACCATTATAGGAAGAATAAATGTAAAATTCAGTAAGATGATCATATGTGAAACTTAATGTCATTATTACATGAAGATCAATTAGTGATATTTTAAGATTTATAACTCCCAAATAAAATATTTGGAAGTTACATAAGAATGATAAATTACCTAAATACCCTTACAATTAATATGTGAGTTACATTTAAACCTAACTAAAAGATGGAACATGATTGGTTGATGTTGGTTAACATAGTTTGCACAATAGTTTTGGTTAGTATTTATATATATATAGATAATAGAAATTTTAAAAATTGTAAAAAGTATAAAATACCTCTCATTTAACGGGGTTTTTTTTATGATCGTTAGTTAAAGGGATCAAATCCAAGAGTTTATAAACTGCAATGACTAATTTATAGTTTCAAAATTGGAAGAACGAAAACCATTATAACCGACAAATTACAAGGACCAAAATTGTAGTTTACTCTTAAGTATTAACCACCTTCCAAGTTCCAACTGCTCCACACTGCACCCGAACCTCAATGTTTGCTTTTGGCTCCACATGGTATTTTTTAAACCAAGTTTTCCTTTTGTTTTAAATACTCAAAAGATAAACTCATGTTAATTAGATATAAAATAAAATTAAAATTACTAATACCTATAATCACCCTATCTGAATTTAATTCTTAAATATTTTATAGTTATAAAAATATGAAATACAATTTATATATTAAATAACTACAAACGTTTTGTTATTACATGTATGTAAATCAACACAATTTGTATTATTTTCTAAAAGAGAAAGAAAATTTAATGTTAAAACATATGAAATAATGTATGAACTAATAAATCACAAAATTACCCCTCATAGAAAGTAACTTGAACAAATGACTAAATGAGGCATGATTTCATAACCTGACAAATCTAAATAAAACAACGCACATACAAGCACGTATACATATACAGACAATATCGAACAATAAGACGTTCAATTTACAAGAAAAGTAGAGGTTGAAAGATCATATGTGATATAAGTAATTATATGTAATCAACATGTTGCATTAACCGATCATAGTAAGGAAGATGTTTCCCACGACCCTTGGTCATATTGACATGTTGTATCAAATGTGATTTTTACTCGATAATCACGTGTTTTTCCTACAAGTGGTATCAGAGCCACATTTTCACATTGAATTATTAGAAATAATTAGTTTTTTTTTGTGGTATAATTGTTTCGTAAGGTGAATTGTTTTGCTATGGGGATTTAAAAAGTTTTTTTTTTTAATTCTGTCGCCAATGATTCGAATGAATAATAATAAATAAATAAAAAACTTTTGGATTAGAGTAATCGAGTGAAACAATTTCGATGGATGATTTTTTTGGATATCAATGGTTTGAGACTTCTGCCGCCGTTTATTGTTTTTTAGATTCGTGATTATATATTATCGTTTTTCGTTTCTCTAGAACTCAAGTTTGACAGTCATATATTGTATAAATTGTTTATATATATTTTGTGATATCCATATAAACGTATCTTTTTTTTTGGTGAAACTGATTACTACCATGACAATTGTTATATTTTATTATTGTTATTCGTTGTTGTGAATGGAAAAGAAGTTTTTTTTGTTTAAGATAATTTTTTCGTTCAATAAAGATTATGTTATGGTTTTTGGAGGATTTTGTTTGTTAGTTGGGCTATTAAGAAATAAATAATATTTCCCATTGAGATTAAGTGTAGATTGTCTGAAACATTAGTTTCGATGGAGTAAAATTATATCAAGGTCCAAACTGTTTTATTATGTTTGCACTTAATTGTCTTGTATTTTAAAATAAATTGATTGACATAATATAGTTGCCAAAGTAACCCCTCTTGTGACAATTAATTTGTTTTAAGGTATAAAGATGAGTATATTTGTTATTTATGCGAATAGTGATTGGCCCAAAGGAAAATTGTTATTTGGCCGGATAATTAATATACATGTGGTAATAAATATATGATTATTGTAAAGTTTTCCATGTGAGCAATGACCGGCCCAAATGAAGGGTATTGTTTGACATGATTTATTTTCAATATTTGATTACTACGTTGAGAGTACCACTTACAAGTTAATATTTTAGTCCAAAGACTAAATATTGATGTTGTGTTAGGTATCTTGTTAATGGGCCCACCAATGTTTCGAAATTTTTATGTCATACATGCACGTATTTTCCTCCGATATGACATAGTTGCTAAGCATGTTATTTGTTTTGTTTAATATACAGTTGCTAATGCTAATAATGTATCTGCTCAAATTGATGGTATTCCTACTCTGACTGGGACGAATTATGCCATGTGGAAAGAGAGTGTGGAAATTGTTCTCGGTTGCATGGATTTAGACCAAGCACTTCGGATTGAGCGACCCATTTCCATTGCGGAAAACCCAAATACGGATAAAATTGAGAGGTGGGATCGCTCTAATCACATGTGTCTAATGATCATGGAACGCTCTATTTCGAGCGGATTTAGGGGCTCTATCACTGAGAGCACTGATGCTAAGAAGCTCCTCACTGAAATTTAGCAATTTTTGCTAAAAATGAAAAAGCGGAAGCAAGTAACACTTTGATGAAACTCGTCACCATGAGGTATAAAGAAAAAGGGAACATAAGGGAGTGCATCATGGGAATGTCTAATCTCAATGGGAAACTCAAGGAACTAAAGTTAGAGCTTTCGGAAGAYTTGYYCRTTCACTTGATTCTCATATCACTTCCTGCACAATTCGGACAATTTGTGGTGAGTTATAACACTCAGAAGGATAAATGGACTCTTAATGAGCTCATGTCACATCTTGTGCAAGAGGAAGAACGACTAAAGCGAGATAAATAGAGAGTGCTCACTTGGCATCAACCTCTCAGGATAAGAAGAGGAAGAGAGCTAAGGAAACTGCAGAAAAAGGGCCAAAGCAGAAAATGCATAAGAAGCAGGATAAGGAATTCACCTGCTACTTTTGCAAGAAAGCAGGACACATGAAGAAAGAGTGTCCTAAGTATGCTGCTTG